TACGGGTTCCGGGGGGAGTATGGTCGCAAGGCTGAAACTTAAAGGAATTGACGGAAGGGCACCACGAGGCGTGGAGCCTGCGGCTTAATTTGTCTCACCACGGGGAAACTCACCAGGTCCAGACATAGCAAGGATTGACAGATTGAGAGCTCTTTCTTGATTCTATGGGTGGTGGTGCATGGCCGTTCTTAGTTGGTGGAGTGATTTGTCTAGTTAATTCCGTTAATGAACGAGACCTCAGCCTGCTAAACAGCTACGCGGGGACCTTTCCTCGTGGCCAGCTTCTTAGAGCGACTGTTGGACGACTAGCCAACGGAAGTTTGAGGCAATAACAGGTCTGTGACGCCCTTAGATGTTCTGGGCCGCACGCGCGCTACACTGATGAATCCAACGAGTCGCTTGCCTGGGTCGAAAGGCCCGGGTAACCTTCTTAAGGTTCATCGTGACGGGGATAGATTGTTGTAATTATCGATCTTGAACGAGGAATGCCTAGTAAGCGCGAGTCATCAGCTTGCGCTGATTCTTCCCTGCCCTTCGTACGCACTGCCCGTCGCTCCTACCGATTGAATGGTCCGGTAAAGTGTCTGGATTGCGGTGATCTCRGTGGTTTGCCGCAGGGGGTGCTGTGAGAAGTTCATTGAACCTTATCATTTAGAGGAAGGAGAAGTCGTAACAAGGTTTCTGTAGGTGAACCTGCAGAAGGATCATTGACACGTGAATGGCCGATCTTCGGGGTGTGGGACGMTGGCTTGCTCGCCCTTCCGCTGCCCTTTGCCCCCATCCTCCCTGCATCCGCTTTTCTCTTCCATTTCAGCACCATCTTGGGCTTAGTGCTCAGCTGGCGGCTGGCCCGGCGCAGAGGGGCGCGAGGTGTAGGTCGAGGGTGAGGGGAGTGGGCAGGGTCCGGGGCCTTGTTGCGTTGCTCCCCCTTCATCCTGTCTCGCCTCCGCAGGTTGTTACCCCGGCCCAGCCACACTCTCGACTTCTGGTCGGGATGGCGGTTGGTCCGGGCACGGACAGCCCTGCGGGAGGGTCAGGGGCGGGATGTCGGGTTGTGGCGGCTGTCCTCGGCCTGCTTACCCCCGCTCCTTCCCATCTCAGCTTTGTTCAGACCTCCTTTCCATCCTGGCCTCGACCCCGGCTTCGTGCGGAGCTTGTGGCTTGTTTGGGGATCGAGGATAGTGGTACAAGCTAGGGGTGGGGTGTGTTGCGGGGTCCTCGGCCCCTCCCCGTTTCGTCCTGCCTTCCTTCCC